GAAGAAGAAGAAGAAGAAGAAGAAGAAGAAGAAGAAGAAGAAGAAGAAGAAGAAGAAGAAGAAGAAGAAGAGAAAGAAATTGCCTGTTTTTTTCAACAATTCAAAAATTGTTGAAGTTTTAAGTGCACAATTATATTTCTTGTATTATAAGAAGCTGAAGCAGCCACAGTGTCTACAAAATAAGAATTCCATGCTGTCTGTTTTAGGACCTTTCGTGAAAAGCTAGATTCAAAATACAAAGCCCGGTGGAGTTGATAGTCATTGCAAATTAGTGGTTGGTACAGTTACCTTAGCTATAGAGACTAGAACATCTGCCTTTACATTTTTGCTCCCTCTTGTAACTGTGGCGCCAGGAACACTAATGTGAACCAAGGAAAAAGCATTTGGGAACCCTGACATCAGAATTTACTAGGCAAATATCTTCCAATGATCAAAATGACAGTTTTCATGTGATCACCCATTGGAACACCAAGGACAGTCCCAGCGCAGTGCAGTAAGGTGAGGACATCATTGAGCTGTTCAGCACATGTTCGAATTACTGAACAGTGCTTTGTCACTTTGACTCTGTCCTCCTTGCTTGGAGAAGGTCTGAGTGTATTTCTCTTGTTCTTTATACTCTTGCTGACAGGATCCAAGCAGATCCACAAGTGTAAAAGATAGGGTTGTATGTTGTAAATTCTCGAAGATGCCCACAAAAGTTTGAATTCAATAGAAAGGCTTACTTGAGAGGGAGTTAATAGAGTGAGTATTAGGTGTCCCACTCTGCAGACTCCTCTTAGTGATTCAATGGAGTTCAGTTAAGTCCACACAGAAAACAACTGATCACTTCCTTGTCATCTCTCTCTAAACAATGGAACGGAGTAGAAACTTACACCTCACACCAAGGCAATCAATAGCTTAAGCAAAACTGTTCAAAGCGGAAGTAGTTCTTTTTGAGTTTTTAGCTTTTGCTTTGTTTCCGAAGGTTTTATCTTCATGGCTTTGTCATGTTTGTTAATGGCTCTGGTGAGAGGCACCGCATTTCAGAATCCGCTCAAACTCTCCAGGAAGCAGCAAGTGGGGCTGAAGGAAAAAGGCCTCTGTCGGGTTAATCTAGGATTTCCCAACTGGGCTTAGATCAAAAAAGAAACCCAAATTTGCCGTGAATGGGGCTCTGGGTTTATTCATACAAGGCTTTTCTGTCATCCACTCTAGCATGCTGCTTCTGATATGCAGAAACCTGTCACTTCGGAGATAAACCCACTAATCCACCCCTGTCCTTGGCGTTCTGTGTTCTGTGGGCAGATCTTTCCGGTGTGTGGATATTTCCTATCATTTCTGCTCAGCTCTCCCTTTGGATCTTAAGCTCAGAGCTTTACCTGATGTTTTTTTTCTGTCTTCCAGATTTGAGGACGGCATCCAGACGGCTCCGTGTGATGTTCTGAGTGCAGCCCCAGGTGAAACACGTCTGTAGGTAATCCCTGGGGATGACAGCACATGTGTCAGAAATCTCAAGAGTTGTTACCATGTTTCCCCGTCGCCACAGCATCTAACCGAATGTGGAGACTAACAGCGGCCATTATAAACCCTGTTTCTGTTCTTAAGGGACTAAACTTTCTTGAGATTCACATGCATGGAGTAGAAAATGAAGGGTTTTATCAAAACAAGCAACTGTTCCTTTTCCCTTCTGTTCTAGATTAGTGACTTAGATCCCCACAATTCCCTTATTTCACCAATAATCATAATTTTCCTTCACGCGTTGATTTCATCTTTGTGTTGGAAGCGTCTGTCGACAATAGGGCAACTTATCTCATATTTACATTGCAACCTCCTCTTTCCTGACATTAAATTGCTTAACAAAACCTACTTGATGGATAAACTAATCTCATGAACTCATCATAACACAGATTTAGAAAGCTAAACAATGAGACTGATATCCACAAAAAGCCCTGGTTATAAAATCTCTTATTAATGACTAGATGACTCTAGTCTCACTTTCATGTAATTTACATTTTATTCTTACAATTATATTCTTTGTTTTTGTTTTGTTTTGTTTGGCTTGCATAGCACACCCGACTAATGCCTGGATATTCTCATTAGGGAACCCATGGTGCTGTTGCTGTCCCTCTGTTCTGTATATTGTTTGAGAGGAAGAAGGCCCAAACAGGAGAGAGACCTGATGCGTTGTACTGAGGCTGCCTGCCTCAGAGCTGGCAGCTCTCACCCCAAGGGTTCTTCCTGTCACTCAGTGTGCTTCATTCTAAGTGTTAACCAGTTGGTGAATTAGATGTTGGAAGAGTTCCAAACTATAATTAATTATGTGCTTCTTTTAGACTTGACAGTCTTCACTGTTTTAACAGATGCCTTTTCTTTATATAATAAAGTCTTTGTTTTGTCTTTGCATATCTGACCTGGTATACAGTCTTCTCCCGTGAAACAGAAACATGACATAGCATCAAGGCAGTTCACACACTGTGTTAAATATTTTTAAAACTTTTAAGAGGGTAGCAAGACAACATGAAAACTTTGGAAACTATGAGGAATCTTGCAACCAAAGTAATGTTCAAATCTATTTTTAAAATTACCAATCACATAATTTTAGTAAACCCTGGAGAATATCCTTTAGGTATGTGGTATAAAATATTTCTGCCTCTTCTGTGGGGGATTCACGAGTATTTAAATTAGTTTTATTTTATTTTTCATACAAAATAGATTGTTTTTGTGTCAGTTCAGCTTCTAAAGTTCTCCCTACCCCACTTGTGTGCACATGTGTGTGTGTTAACTTGTGTGCGTGTGTGTGTGCTCCAATATATATCCCTTTCGCCTTGCTTTGGTGTGCTTTTCTGTACCGAGAAAAAACTTTAAATAATCCTGATACTTCAACTTTAAAAATGACAAGTCCATGGGATTTTTAGGGATGAGAGCAGATGGGCAGGAAAAAGAACAAGCTGAGAAAAAGCTAAATAGTTCCCAAAGAGCATTTTACTTACTGAAATATAATCCCAAAGGAAACTAATGTAATGTGGAAAAACTTACAATGGAGATCTTATATGAGACCCAGGTAAGGGATGGTCAGAGGACCTGAGAAATTGATGAGTTGCAGGTATTGACCGGTGCGTTTGAAGACAACCCAAGAGTGAATTCTGAAATGGAGCCCTCTGTTGCATAGATGCTTTGGAAGCTTTAGTGTTATTGATCTATTGAAGACAAAGAGGAAGCTGTTCTGATCGGTATGCTAAGAAGTTTGCTTCCTAGGGAAGGCAGTCTCACGCTTCCAACTTTCACTGTAGTTGTAAGCACACCTAGGAAGACAGAGGTTTGAATTATTAAGGAAACCAAGTTTTCTGGCCTTAAAGCAGAATATTTTCAATATCCTAAAACCTTTATAGCATCTTGTTTGGAAATACACATTTTCCTGTCATTTTTGGTGATAGAGGAAAATGAGGGAAAGAACACTTTGAAGAATGAGAAAAGTTAGCTGAGACGCTAAAATTTCATTGAATACATTTTGATGTATCCTGGGGTTTACAGAAGTATAATGAATTGGTATTTTAGAATTTGAATGGTTGCCTTGTTGTTTGGTATTATATCAATACCAAAACAATCTGTGAAGAAAATTAATATTGTAAACATTTTAAATATTTTTGTTTAAATAAACTGATATAATAATAATTAATTTTTAGCTCTTACAAGAAGTCTTTTTATGAAAGCATCATATTTTCTTATTGGGACATGATTTGAACCTTTTAAAAATGCAACGTTAGAGCATCTAATATAGCAAGGAAGCATGAGTGTTTTGGTGTCTTGGAAGACATTCTTACTGCATTTAATGGTGAGGTCTTTGCAATAATACAAGCCTTTGTTCTGTGCTGCCTTGATCTTTTTTTCTTGTAAAATTTTAGTAAGGATAGATAATATCTTCAAGTTATGTTTTCCAAAACCTGTAAAATGGAAAAAAAGTTAGAACTCATTTGGTAACTTTCATATAAAAATTAACTCCAAAGGAGTAAAAAGTAAATAAATGTGTCCTAAATAGATACTATAAGTCTGTTGAGGGTATGTATTGTTGGAACAATGCCTATACAAAGGATAGCAATGCACGGAACCCAAATGCTTCAGGACCTTGCTCAGTCCAGGTGTATCTTAATTGGATTTCATTTTTCTGGCGGCAAGACTGTTTAATGACTATGATCCCACTTTTCTTTGGAGGATAGTCAGACCCAACAGCATATCGACTGCAAGAGATAGCAGTGTGACAAGTCTTTTTTTTTTTAAACTGGAGTTCTCACTAGAGATTGCTAATCAGGAAAAGCCTATGTCAGAAATCAAAAGTCAGACAAAGGGCAGCCCCAGGTGAGATATAGAAAAGGTCAAATGTCAAGGTTAAAAAAAAAGTAGCAATGTAGGTCAAAACCTGACCCAGGAGAGGACACACAGATGGAGGAAGAGTGTGAATTGTCACAGAAGATACGAATTAGCAGTTGTTCCTGTAAGTTGACTGACAATCAGCATCATGGTTTCCTATAGTGCTGAAGCAAAAAAATAAACAAACTTAGTCATCAATATTTTCAACTCTAGAAACAGAAGTCATTGCATTCAAAGCCATCTGACCATATATCATGTAAGTATTAGCCTGACAATTTTGGGAAAAAATTAATCTTAAAGTTTAATTGTCATTCAAATGTAGGTTATGTTTGAAAATAGATGTTGTGTAATCTATCCACAAATGTGGTAGATCTTGCTATTTAAAAAGTCTCAGTTCATATTTGGGGTTAACTGATTTATTTCTTGTTTACTTGTTTGTTCATTCACTTTCTATTATTTTTAGCATAGATAGTCAATACAGAGATGCTTTCTTTATTCAAGATAACCAAACACTGATTTTGCATCTGTATTCACATGTTAAAGGCTGTCCAAAGCCAACTCATTTTCTACACATCATTCAGAGAGACTTTGTTACGCATTTATCCAAAAATATGTCTCTCTCCCCTGCCCCAAATTCTTCCTTCATTCTTGCTTGGTGAAAGAAAGAAAGAAGGAAGGAAGGAAGGAAGGAAGGAAGGAAGGAAGGAAGGAAGGAA